TTATAATAAATCTATATTATTATTTTATACGGGATAAATATGCAATTAGTGATACATGAATAAATAAATCATGCATAACTAATCACTGCAAGAAAATAATGCATTTATTCTATAATAATTAATTCATATATTACTAATACATGTATAATTCTAATCAACTATCAAACGACTTGTAAGTGTAATTTGCAAACAAGAATGATTTGATTTGTCTCTCCCTAGCTCTCTCTTTTGCTAATCTTACCTATAATTGGTAGGATCTACAGCTGACATTCATAGGAAAGAAAACCGTTATTTTTTTCTCTTTTCCAAAAGTAAGACTTTCAAATAACAAGAAGATAATGATAAAATTAAAGCAATTTATTACTTTCTCAATTCAATAATTGAAGCAAGAGAGGAAGGGTAATTTTTAGGGGTAATAATAAAAGAGCTTAAAATGATAGATTTTTATACAACTCATTTATAGTGTTAAAAAAGACTTACAATATCAATAATATGTTCACTTAACATTTTTGAAAAGTTCTTTTCTTTTTTTAAAAGAAAAGATTAAAAAAAATCATTCTTGAAAATATTATTATTGCAGAATTTTAAATTTAACAGAATTGAATCCCTTGTTTATATGATACTTTACTTCAGGTAAATTAATCTTCACATTTTTCTCTTTACATTTTGTACTTGCTAAATTTCTAAAGAACTCATTTGATTTATAGTGCTAAAAGGGACTTTCATATGATGAATATGTTTTTTTTCTTCAAAAAAGTACTTTTATTGAAAATATAACTAGTACATATAGAGAGGTTACAAAAACATCTCTCACCTACTTAATGGGTAAGTCCATCAATTAAATGTAGTAGGATTTCACGATAAGCTTACAAAAAACTATAGTAGTGACTTTATAATTATTTTGATGTAAGATTACATGATATGCTAGGGTTCACTAGGGCTTTTCGATGTAAGATTCTGAAAATGACTAGGAATTTCAATGTAAGATCTGGAGTTTTGCTAAGGTTCCCAAGCTATCCGATGTAAGATTTTGTGAAGGACTTGCTAATTCAACGTAAGATTCTAAGAGATTGTAGGTTACATGGTATTATCCCGATATCAGATTTCACGAACACATTCGTGTTATTACTTAGTTGTGCCTTGTAGTGTAGCTTTTGTGTGGTAATTAACCACCAGGCTTATGGAGTTCAATCGAATTATTGGTTGTATGGTTGTTTTTTGCGATGTTTTGTTTGTGTTTTCTGGGCTTATGGGGGTGTAGTAAGGTTTTAGTTAACCTTATTGCTTTCGTCATTTACCTTAGTAGCTTTACTTTGATTCTTAGAACAATGATGCCCTTACTATTGTCTTATTATCATGTTGTTCATTTACCTATGATGCCTATTGCGCACCCATTGTTTATACTCATATTGCACTCTACATATTCTTTTCTAATGCAAATTAGAGCTCTAGTCAACCGTGTTGATCCTTGTACATTTGTAGTTGGTATTCCAGAGATTAAGGGTGAGCTTGTTGGCGTTTGTAATTGACTCGTCTCCTTTTATATATTTAAGACTAGTCTTTTTCATGAGAATTTTCATAGGAATTACTATGAAAATTCACATAAAACTTATTTTTCTGCAAATTTTCATACTAATTCTCATGTAATTCATAGTTTTCTTGTAGTTTGTACATATTTCTTATACATGTCTAGTCTTGTAGACGTCCTTTTATAGTATCCTTGCACAAACACCCACCAAGTTCTAGGACAAATCTTTGTATGTTGACCTCGTTCGAGGGTTGTACATATATATATTGTCACTTATTTATGGTGTTTCTTATGTCTATTTCATATATGATTTTACATTACATGAAGATGTAATCAATATGTTTTTGAAATTTAATTATTTATATATATTCTTATGTATTGATTCTATTCCAACCCTCTGCCATCCATCCATCCATTTTTCATGACTACATAAATTTCTTTATATGTTATTGATTTGAATAAAGTAAAAATAAGTAAAATAAAGTTATGCTTGTAATCAAATTTTGATTAATTATTATTCTTAATAGGTTTAAATGTTGTCCAATCCCACCTATAAAGAAAACAAAAATTGTTCATAGAAAATATTAGGTGAGATGTGTTGCATTAAAGAATATGTTATGTGATATATATATTATTACATGTTTGTACCTAATAAAATTAAGGATAAAATACTTATATGTACAACATAAGTTTTTGTATTCTCCATTTTTTCCTATCTTTTTAAATATTTCAAAAATCTCTTTTTTTATCCCAATTCTAACTATCGGATACATAAGTAACCCAATTTTACCCTCTTTCTTTTAAATCCTTTATTTTCTCCCTAAATTCTCTCCAAATAGTTAGCAATTATCAAATTGATTTAAAAACGATTCTTTCTCCATTCAATCAAATTTAAACATCTGCACAGGTAGGGGCTGTCTTCTCCATTATTGATTTGTTCGAATTCTTGTTTCTGTTCAAAGTTATGTTGCTGATATATGTTGATAAGGGTGTTTCGTTTTGTATTGGGGTTACTGAATCAATTTCTTTTTATACTAATCGAATATATGATTTTTTTGACGATGAAAAATAGGCTGAAAATAGATTCAAAATTTTGCACGATCCACTAGTAATGAAGAAAAATCTAAGTATTTTCAAGTCAAACATGGAGCATCATCATCCTCAAAACCAAATGTTGTAAAAAAAATCTTAGGAAGAAAAAAAACACTATCTCTAGGCCTTCACTCGCCAACATATGTGTTTCGTACCTTTTTCCATTTTTTGTGTTTGATATTATATTTGTTATGTTGAATCTAAACAATTTGATGCATAACTTGATGCATACAAAGACAAAGAAATCAATACACTTTTGGAGCCAGAACATCCAAGTGATGTTGAATTTGTCGAACATATTATGCAACAAAGAAATGTAACTTGTAAGATATCTTGTATCAAATACATTATATCCATTAAAATAAATATCTGATACAAATATCTTGTGTTATGTTTAATGTGATTATGTGCATTAAAAAATGTACACAAGGTTGAAAATATAAACATGTGAATTTGTTGTATCAGATATTCATCATCTAAAAGTAAATTGCAGTGTATATCAATATAACACGGGAAAATCTAAAAATCGAATGGAACATAACTTAATGTATCTGAAACATAATGGTAATCCAAAAAAAGATTTCAACAATCATCTTTCGGAAAGAAAGTATAAGTTCTTTGACTATGACATTCTTTTCCATAAAGTTTCTTCGTTTTCTTGGTTGTCTAGGCATCCTTTTGTACCTAGGAGATAAGACGTTTTCTTCTAAAGCAAATTTCGAAATTTTTTGTACCTAGGAGATAAGACATTTTCTTCTAAAGCAAATTTCGAAATTGACCAATCGTCCTTATTTGCAATTGAAGTCATTAAAACTTCACATGTGTTTGCTAATACATTTAATTTGTCGTTCAGAGCAGTATAGATACATATGTGTAACTTTTTCTCTAACAGAGATCCTCAATTTTCACGAACATCATTCGATATACACACTAATACATAACTGCAATTCTACTAGATACATTATAAAAGTTATTGTCTCATGTATCATTATCAAAAAAATAGAAAAAAAATTAATATACATGCTAAATCTGATAGTAGATACATTAAAAATGTAATCTCTTCATTGCTAATATATTTAATATTCACATAGTGATAATTTAAAAAATATAAATTCACAACATACTCTCTTTAACTGCGTGAAGTTGTATCCAGTAATTCACATATATAAAACTATAAGTGTATCATTTTTATTTTCATTAATGAAACATTTTCATATATATCCTTTTACAAATTTTAAAATAAAATAAAAAAATCACATGTATATTATACGTTATATAAACAATGAAATAACTCACTTAGATCTCCAAATTCATTACACGCGAGTCTAATTAGTGTTGTATCAAACTTTAATCATTAATATACGAATATATCAATATACGATTTTTTAAAAAAAATCCAATGATTAAAATGGATAATGGATGTACTAAAGATTGAAAGTAATTCAATTATTGATACATTTAAAATTCACAAAATCACATGTACATGACACATGAAGTTAAATACGCACTAACTAAAATTGTTCAAGTAATTCACATGTATCAAACCAAAACTGTATCCATTTTGTAGTCAGTATTGTATCATGGTACAAGATATTCCGTCTAATCGAAATTTCACAAGTATCAAAGAAGAAATGTGTGTGCACAGATACTTCGTCTAGTTAAAATCTCCTACAATTACATATTTTTCACTCAAGGCTAACAACGTGTTTTCTTCCAGGAATAACAATGTATCACGACTTATGTATCAAAAATTTTAAAAAAAATATTAATTCACAACTTAAGAATAAGATAGTATACTTACTTCAATACTTTAAGCATTGAATAAGCAGATCCATTTTTTCGGACAATACAAGATAAACTCTGCACGAAAATGAATAGCCGTCAAAACAACAATTTTAACTCGCTCAACTATGATAGTACAAATAAGTCGTGCACATAAAACCTGCAACTTATGGATAAAGATAATATCAAACGAAGAGAACAAATTTTTTAAGGTATCTATTATCCAATTTAGATATAAAAATACCTTGGGTGTTGTCTTCCCCAACTTCAAGACAAACAATTTCACTGAATGTAGCATCAAAGCAATGCGCCTCTCTAGTCATCTTGTTTGTTGCATCAATGACAGATTTGAGATTCAATTAAGTTGTAATGCATGGCGTATTTGAGATCCGCGAAAGAAATTGTTTGTTCAACCACTATTCTATCATTATTATATCGTTTATAACTCAGAGATCACCCAAATTTCTGAATATCTCAACAAAATCAATATATCCATCATGTATTAGCAAAGGTGATAGTCTATTTTGGATCTGTTATGATTTGAAATAGATGGAGGAGAAGAAGATTTGAATATTTGGTTCAGATTGATATCAGTCCCTTTTGCGTGAATTGTGGGATCTGTTTTGCCTGATTTGTGGGACTGATAATCAATTTTACGTTTAGACTTCTTTTTAAGATCAACAATCTAGTTGTTTTAATGTATTAGACGTAATGTAACCGGATACTAAATTTTTTAAGGAATTTTTGTAAAATAGAAAAAACAAATAGGGATAGAATGTAATTTAAATTTCACACTATGAAATTTATGTAAGTTATACTAAAATTAAAGCAAGAAAAAAAAAAGGAAAATCACGCGAAATGGCAGTATGTAGAGTATATTATGTGATTTAGCTATAATTTTGATTATTTTTAATTCATAGCTACAGTTTCGCAAAATTTTGCTATTCGATTTTCTAATTGTATAAATCAAGATTTTTATAATTAGGTCTCTAATTATATAAATTCACAATTTGTATATGCTTACCTTGCCTATTTTTATATGATTTATGAAAAATTCATAATGAATTATCTTGTTTGTATATTGGCAAAGGAAATATACCAATGAAGTTCTGAAAGATTTTTATATGTATAAATATAGAATTTGTATATACTAACCATGTTTGTATATTTGCTGTGAAATATACAAACGGGCAAGCAAAATAAACAAACCACAACCTACATTTGTATATACTTTTGTTTATTTGCAAGAGAAACATACAAATGGTCAAGCGAAATATACAAACTGCAGCCTATATAGAAAACTAAATTATAGGTATGGCACACAATTACCGAAACCATATGTCTATTATCTTTGTTATTTCTGAAATTTTCTAAAAGAAAAATCAAATTTATCTAATTAAATTTTGATTATTCATCTTAGAAGGTACAAATAGTATTCAATAAAATAAATAAAGGAGAAATTACCGAAGTATACACCATTAGTTATATTCTCAATATTTCCCTACCATTTTAAAATAATAAGAAAATTCCTTCTTTTCACTCAAAATCCAATTGTCGGAGACATTATTTCATTTCCACTCCAAACTCACGTTTCTAACTCCTATATTTGCTCCTTCAATTTCTCTCTCTTTTCACTTACATATCAAATCAATTACCACATTAATCAAAACATAAATTTCAAGAGGTTTTTCTCTTCAATAAACTAATTTCAGATTTGTAGGTACTTTCATCTTTTTCAAGTTTCTTCTTCGTTTTTTCTTGTTTCATTATTTTGTCTAGTACATATGAATGCTCCTTCATTTAGAATTGGAATTACCCAGATAGTTACACCTAATACTAATCAAATCTTGGATTTTGATAATGCCCAATGGACAAAAAACAAATCTAAAAAGTTAAAGGATCCTTTCACAATGACAAATCAAAGTCCAGAGAAGGAAAAAGCAAAAAAAAAGTACCGGCATCAACCTGCATCATAGAAAGCAAAGGTTAAAAAATAATGAAAAAAATAGGTAAAAAGATTGCCCTGCCATATCTCGACCTACACTATACAGGGTATGTATTTTGAACCATGTATTTGAGTATTTACTTATTTTATTTTAAATTTATGTTTTCGCCTGTTGAATTATTGGATCCACAAAATTCGTTTGAGGTGAAATTTATTCAAGATATTATGCAACAAGAAAGTGACAGTCTGTAACTATTGAATCATTTTTTCTTTAACTACACATTTGATCTGTTTTTGTAATGTATCTTTTTCTTTTTTATAGCTACTGCAGAATGTTTTTAGTTTTTTTTTATTGAATATTTTAGCAATAAAATCAACATCCCATCTAATGATTTTCGAAGTGACTATCTTCGTACAAGATATGCAACACCATTATGAAAGTATGATTTCAACAAGGCCAAAACAAAATATGTTAGCGAAAATGATGATCCTTCAAGGCCGAAGAGTGACTGCACTCCACCAATAGAAGTTGATCTTGATTATTTAAAAAAGATTTTTATCTATCAATTCACCGACAATTCTCTATCATCTATTGTTTTTAAGATACATTAATTAGTGTTTTTGAGTATTTCTTCTTTTTTGAAGATACTACTTCTAAATGTGAAGAAATTTTATGTTGAAAATTATTTGTTTCACTTCTTATTTTATTTTCAATATATTTAGTACGTTGTTAAATTTTATTTCTTATAAGTATAGTACATATCACTGTAGTTGATACTATATTATTAGAGGATACAAGATTTTTCAAAAATTTAGTATATATGTGATACACGATTACTTTTAATGAAACAAATTTGTATGTATCACAACACCTGATACTATATTTTTATACTTGATACAAATCAATTAATTTTCAATATATTTAGTACCTTATAACATTATGTCTTTTATAAATTTGATACAAATGACTACACTTGATACTATATTATAAGTTGATATAAATTTGTCAAAAAATATACTATGTATATGATACACAATTATTATTTATCATACTTTCAAAATCACAAATTGTTGTGTTTCAGAAAACATGATACTATATATTTATAATTGTTACAATCCTCTTAATTTGTAATATAATTAATACCCTTTAATATAATGTCTCTTATCCAATACACATCACAAGTCTTATGCGGTACATATCAGAACAGTTGATACTATATTATCCAATACAAAAAATTTAAAAGAATTAAGTATCAGATTCATTATGTTAAACAAATCAATGAAATATAATAGTATTTTCAGTACTTATTAACTGTTACAAATATATTAATTACTCAATCAATACAATGTTTATTTTAAAAATAACTTTATATCAAAAACAAAACAATACACTAATTCACTTTATAAGAAATTAACAATAAAAAATAGGGGAAATTGTATATAATAGCAAACTAATAACCTAAATTAAATGGAATAGCTAGGGTTTGATTTATTTGTGCTCCATAGCAAACATTAGCTAAAATTTGCCAGCGTGTCTCTCCCAAAAATCTCGCTCGCCACTCTCCATTCTCGCTCGCCTCTCACGCTTTATACACAGAAGTGTATAATTCTGTTTCTATTTAGTATAAAGCGAGAGAAAATTTTATATACACATGCAAAAATGTATATCTTCGTGTTATACACTTAATTATACAATTTACAAACATTTTACTTTAGATATTGCAGAGAAAAAGACCAACGAATTATATAATTGTGAATTATACAATTGCAGTGAAATACAATTTTCTCTAGCTTTATACAACAGAAGTGTATATATTGTGTTTCTGTTTTTGTATAAAGCGAGAAAAACATATATCTTCTTGCTATAGACTTATAATTATGCAATATACATACATTTTAATTTGATTCAACTGTATGCAAAGCGAATTATACAATTGCAGCAAAATAGGCCAGCGAATTATACAATTTAGGCCAGCGAATTATACACTTGTATATGTATAGCGAATTATACAGTTTTTATGTTTGCTATGGAGCGCAATTATGCAAAGTTTGCTATAGCATACAAATATGAAGTTTTTGTTTGCTATATGTGAAAGTTGCCTAAAAAATTACGTAACATTCCATTTATTGAATAAGAAATTAATAAGCTAAAAGTACTTTTTTATGTAAACATTTGTAACAACAGAAAGAAATGTTATAATTTGAGAATTATTAGATCTGAAAAAATAAAGTACTCAAAAAAGTATTGATCTAGATTCTTCTTTCGAGAAGAAAGTAAAACTTCTTCGATTGTGAACTTCTTGCCCACATCGCACATAACAGTTCGTGTTTGATGTTAGTTTTTCATCTGAATCTTTCTTCCTTTTTTTTCTTGATCTAATGAAATTCTTTTGTATCTTGGTGGCAAGACATCTTCTTTCAAAACACATTTCGAAATTGATCAATTATTTTTTTCTAACATTGATCCCATTGGAACTGCATAACACACTAACACATAGCTTCAATTGTACCAAATATATTTATTATTTAATGTTTATTGTATCATCCTAAAAAAATTACACTTCAAAATACATTATTATAACTTGCTCAACAGATCATATATACTATTAGTTTATCGTACATATTATTGTCCCCATAGTTTTACCTGTTTTAGATACTTATAAAAGAAAAACATACAAAACAATCTGTGTACCACAATTATCCGTTTATATTCATTGATACATTAAAAGAGCAAAGAAGTATTTCAAATGTATATGATACATTGTAATTATCAAGCAATAATACACAAATCTAAACACCTTACACATACAAAGCAACACCAATACATAAGATGCAACCTAATTATGAATATCGTTTGAAAATAACAGTGTATCATGAATAATTTAGTAACAAATAAATTTCAAAAAGGTATAAAAAGATATACGATCTGTGTATCACAAGATTATTTGTTCACATAGATTTTGTTATCAGATCTTTTAACTCATCTACAATGGCAGAAATAAGATCCATGAATGAAATATTTTTTCTAAATCACTATTCCATCACTTCTGTATTGCTCGTACCTAACATGACTTTTTCATATTTTCGAATGCCTTAACAATATTGAAATATTTATTATGAATCTTTACAAAATTTCACTGCAATTTTTTTTATCAAGCTCCTGTAGTTTTTTGTAAGAACAGGGAGAGCTAATTTGAAATTTTAATTTTTTAGTTATGTTATCTTTTTGAAATAGAGTGGTTGTTAGAAGAAAGAAATGTACGCTTGATTTGTAGGGTTCAATTATATTTTGTGTTTTTAGTCCCTTATGCAAATTGATAACAAAAACATTTAAATTAATGTAATGTGATTTATTTATTAAACTATATGATTTGCATAATTTTTACATAAATAAATTGTGCTACCCATTCACATATAACACATAAGTCATAAAACTACATTTATATATGTTCTTTGTGCTATATGTACTTGAAAACAATGTAAAGCATATGATATATAATCATACATAAGTGATTTCAAGTTTCAATATCTTCATTTATTTTTTCTTTATGCATCAACTATTCTAAATTCTTTGGCCTTTTGTTGATTCGGATTCCTGCCGTATGTAGGAATCACCAAATTGAGAATTTAACCCACCTTAGTTTTCAATTTTTCCATTCTTAATGTTTGAACTC